AGGGTGGGATAGGACGAGACTGGACGGGATGGGATGGAGGATGGGACAGGATGCAATGAAGGACAAGGTGTGGAGGATGGGAGGGGCTGAGGGATGGGATGAGGGGTGGAGAACAAGATGGCTGAGGGATGAGATGGGATGGGACAGGATGGGTTGGGATGCACTGGGATGGAATGGAGGTTGAGATGGGGACAGAACAGGACTGTATGGGATGGAATGGGATGGGAGGGAATGGGGCATGACAGAGGACAGGATAGGAAGGGCCTGCTCAGTACAGTCTGCTCCTTAACCTGCTGCCCAGCCATAACCTGGAGATGAAGCACCTGCCCGGGGCAGACCCTGAGCTCGTGCTCCTCAGCCATCGCTATGAAGAGCTGGAGGTGAGTGGACAGCATGGCACCCGCCGCTGCAGCAGGGTCTGGGGTGGGTCAGTGCCCCACAGGTGCCAGGCTGCAATCCCCATCTGTGTGTAGAGAATCCCCCTGAGTGACATGACCCGGGAGGAGATCAACCAGCTGGTGCAGGAGCTGGGCTTCTACCGCAAGGAGATGCCTGATGCCCCTGTGCCTGAGGAGTTCCAGTTCGCCCCTGCCAGGCCTCTGCCTACCCTACCACCCCAGCAAGCTCGCACTGCTGATGGCAAGATCCCACCTGAACGCTATGAGGGAGAACACCCAGACCTCTAGTGAGGGGTGCTGCGCTCAGGAGGGGGTCTTGCTGCCAGCCCTCAGTGTGAAGGGATGTTACAGCCGTGGGGGATGGTGTCACAGGGTGGTGAAGGAGTCCCTGCTGTTGCTTGGTGCTGTGTAGCCTCTGCTGCAAGGATGCTCTGAGCAGTTCTAGCCTTGAGCAGGGGCTTTTTGGGCATTGTGGACATCCCGGGGGTCCTGTGTGTCTGTCACTGCCTTCTCCCCTACAGCCTAGCACCCCTGGCTGGTCAGGAGGAGCAGAGTTCTTTGTGCTCCCTTGATGTGCCCAGGGGGTTAGCTGACTTCCAGCGCTGGGCAGTGGTATCCTACCTGCATGGGACAGGATGAAGCCTTCAGCAGAAAGCCCCAGGTGCTGAGGGTAGATGTGCTGAGTCCTGGAGGTGGGAGAGCTGCCCCATGGGGGTATGGCTTTACACCCCAGCAGGGCTGTCTTGTCTCAAGCCCTCAGTAAAGCCCTTGTGTATAATCGGGTGCACTGTGGTTTTTCCAGGGAAGGCTCAGTGGGATGCAACCGACGTTGCTCTCTGCTGGATGCCAGGAGGAGCTGGGTGCCCCAGAACTGCTCACAGAGGTGGGAAGGGATGGCAGGGCCACAGACACTGCTGGAAAGCTGACAAACCATCTCATGGGCCAACCATGCTGTTCCTGTGTCACCCCCTCCACAGTGCCCTGGAAAGGGCACCATGGCTTGGGATGAGTTGCTGTCACGGGGTGTAGAGGGACAGGTGCAAGCCCATGGGGGGGTTCTGCAGTGCTGAGCTGAAGCCCAGTGGCTGTGCCGGGGGACATCTGGTCCCTAGCTGGGGAAGGGAGCAGGGCACAGCTGCAACATCTGCAGCCTTTGGCAGCATGGGGTCTGCTCCCCACACCAGGCCTGGGGACAACGAACCAACAGCCCTTGCTCTGCTCCGTGCATCGTCCCTGAGGAAGAGCACGCACCCCGTGTCAGCCACTGGGCTAGGTGACCCGTGGGCCTGTGGGCAGAGGGGTCCAGGAGCAGGCATGACTGCCAGCGCTCCCCTGGGCGCTGCGGTGTGTGCTGCACTGGTGGCACGAAGCAGTGGTGCAGCTGGGGAGAAGGACCCAAGGCAGAGGCGTCACCCTGTAGAATAAACCTTTATTGTCTGGCTGGTGTTGGTACACGTGTCAACGCAGGTGTAGAGACGTGATGGAGGGGTAAGCAGTGCTGAGCACATAGTGCCCTGAGCTGGGCTGGGGTGGAGAGTGGGGTCTGCCATCCCAGCTCATTCCTTGGGCCCCTCAACTCCCCTGGGACCCCTTGCTTTCTCACCTACTTTCCAGCACATGTGTGCTGCAGCCCCCCTCCCCCCATGTGGAAGCGCCCCAGGGTGCACACGCAGTGGGAAGCAGGGTGTCAGCATAGGGCCGTGGAGCCATCCCCAAGGAAGTGGCATCAGGCAGGGCCTGTGGCAGGCAGAAGGGCTTACTCGCAGGGGAGCAGGGAAACCTGCTTGCAGGCACACTTGCCTGCAGAATGCAAATGTGCTGCGACCCCGGCTGGGCTGCACAACCCTGCTTGGGTGCCAACCTACACCAGCCCCATGCCCAAGGGCGTAGTCATGCCCGGGCCTCCCCAGGGACACAGGCAGAGGTGCCGTCTGCAGGACAACCAACACCTGGAGAACAAGCAACACACTGGAGTGCGGGAGGCGAGCCAAGCTGGGGCGCACCCCTGGCAGCACCTACCTGGCCCTGCCCTGCCTTGCCCAGGGGTCAAGCTGCAGCCAGCCAGGACAGAGGGAGCTCCAGTAAGGCAGAGGCATGGGGTTGCCCCAGTGGCAGCCTCCCCTTCCCAGTACCGGTCCCGTGGCCCCCCCCCAGACCCTTAGGGCAGGCAGCTCCCCTGCCCACTGGCAGCCCTGAGGTCAGGGGGCAGCGGGGGCAGGGAGGGGGTGTGTACGTGTGTGGCAGGCAGGGCAGCTCTAGCACTCTTTCTGCCGCATGCGCAACTCATGGCGACGCAGGTGGTTGTAGAGGGACTGCACGTAGGTGAAGACGCACTTGGAGTCCGGCTTCTTCCCCATGATCATCATGTCTTCTACCTCCACCAGGGGCACGCAGTCTACCAGCATCCTGCAGAGACACAGCCCTCAGTGTGGCCTCCGGCCAGCCGCCCCACCACAGGGGCTGGGATGGGAACCCATGCCACCCAGGGCCTGCTGGTGCTGGGCACCACTGCCCTGAGCCCCACTCTGTTCTTGCCCACTCCTAAATACCCACAGTCCTGCTGCTCCCAGCACTGGGAAGAGCACGTGCTGCCTGCAACAGGAGCTGCACGCCTGACTGCACCTCTTGACACCCTGGTGCTCTCTGCCCTTGGTGCTGGCAGTCAGCCCCTGCTCAGGCTGTGCACACCCTCCTGCAGCTGATGCCAGTGCACTGGAGAGTTTTCCCTCCCTGCCCACACGTCTGTGCTGTGCCTGTCCCAGACACCACCAGCTGGTCCAGGTGAAGGTAGGGGGAGTCCTGGGCACACACAGCCCATTGCTCCTGCCCCAAGCCCTGGCCCTGCTCCAGCTCTGCCAGCCCAGTTCCCACCCTCATGCTGGACCAGAGGCTGGAGAGCTGCCTGATCCAGGCACAGCACAGCACCGCACCACCGGTGGGGTAGGCACTGCCCACCTCCAACCATGTTGACACTGACCTGTGCCTACTACCCCCCAGCCTGGGTCCCGGTGCTGTGCTGGAGGCCCTGCTGCAGCCACTGCCAACCTCGGGG